TTCAGATAGTTTCTATCATTAAATTCTTTAATTATATTCTTGTATTATACATCTCTAAGAAATATATTTTCCCCAAGTATGTATCTAAAATAACCATGCTTAATACGAATTTGTATTTGTTCAGTTCATGTGTGATTATATATTAAAAATTAGTCAATATACAAATGACTTACAATTAATTATTACTTCACATTCATAGAACATTGTAATTTGTGTTTATTAATTTGGGATTATACCTTTAATCATTAAAAGTCCAATTTGAACAAGCAAAAATTTTAAATAATTCAGGTATTTTTTCAAAATGCATATATATACTTCCTGGAGCAAAATTTCATTTATCACTTAAATAAGGGCTCAAATGCTGTTTCATTTTATACTCTAGATTTAGGAAAATAAATTCATGGCAATAATTTATATTATTATTATTATTATTATTATTTTTTTGGTTTTTTCGAGACAGGGTTTTTCTGTGTAGCTTTGCTCCTTTCCTGGAGCTCACTTGGTAGCCCAGGCTGGCCTCGAACTCACAGAGAGCCGCCTGGCTCTGCCTCCCGAGTGCTGGGATTAAAGGCGTGCGCCACCACGCCCGGCAATTTATATTATTATGCTTAAGATTTTTAAATTACTTGAGAAACATAAATAGTGAGTCACAATGATTTTCATTCTGAAAAGCTAGTATATTTTAATATTTACTTTACAATATTTCCTATGCTAATTATACTACTCAGTGGTAAGAAAAATATTTGAGTTGAATAAGTTACATGTATTTTATAGATTTTTTCTTTATGTTTCCAACTATGCCACCTTTTATATATGTTTTATTGGACACTGGCAACTTTCAATGTATAGAAACCAATGTTAGTGTTAAGAATCTATGTGCATTACGGTGTGTTGTGCCTGGCCTTCTCAGTTCTTCCTGGTGTTTGGTTCTTCCCAAGTTGTCCTTTATATTTACTTTCTTTCTCTTCTTTTTTAATTTTACTTTCTTTTACTCTTCTTTCTTTCTCTCTCTCTCTTTTTTCTAACCTTTTAAATCTTCAGACAGCATTAACATTGTAAGAATAGCTTCCAATATAGAGTATGATATTGGTTGAGCTGCTTGTAAAACATGTTGTGTACTATAATATAAAAGGGACAACTAAGAAACTTGTGTAATTGTTAGCTCATTAAAACTACTTATAGTCACATATGTATCACTGTATGTATAATAAATGCATTATTTATGTTTGGACGTATATATCATTTAACAAGAAATATGGGTGTAAAGGCCCAAAGGCTAAGCTCATTTCTAGTCTCTACATCTTGCTTTGGGACTTGAGTTAATTATTTGTGTCTCCAATTCCCTATTTGTTGTTAGCAATTTTTTTTAATACTTGAAAATAAAAGAAGTGAAGGTTGTCAGATTTTTGCCATCATACTGGATTGATCACTTTGTAATTGCCTCTTCAAGGACAATGGTATTTTCTAGGGTTGTATTTGGCTAATTATGCCTAGCAGATGAAATCCAACAAAGGCCTAGTTGGTTAGTTCACAAGGTAAGGAGGGGTTTTTACAGTTAACACGGTATAAATTAACATGGTATAAATTACAGTTTAAGCATGGTATAAATGAGCAACCCCTCTCCATTCTATTCAGGATCCATCCTGCATTCTCATACAGCATTGCTTTAGACAGATAAGGATAAATTTTCCTTTACTGCTCGTTTCACAGTCTAGACATTTCCTTAATAGAATCAGAATTAAAGCTTCTGTACTCTTCGACTTTCTTCAATATTTTTAAAGAGTACTTTTTTTTTCAGAGCAATTTAGTTTTAAAGCAAGATTAACAGAAAGCTATAGAGATTTCCCATGTGTTCCCTCCTCCCATACATCCAGAACCTTTCCCATGGTCAACAACTCTCCTCCCCACTGATGTGATGCACTGGATGCATTTGATGAGCATACGCTATTGTGATACAAGCCCCGGAAGTGCAGAGTTTACATGTGGGCTCACTTGGCTGTTCTTGTTTAAGGCAATGTTGCTTGTGCAGGCAGTGGTGAGTCCTTACAGCCAGTGCCCATCTGCCTGCGCCGGTAAACTGTGTTTGTCAAGAGACAGACACAGTTTACTGTTCCTCAAGTTTTAATTTCTATTGTTACTGCAGGCTTTAATTAAATAATGTACTGGCAGATAAAATTAGTGAAGACAGGAATTTAATTCAATAAAGACTAAACTAAGTACTTTAGGAAGACTCAATAAAGGTGAATTGCTTAACAATTGCTATGCAATTAAATCTAAATGAAGCCTTTGCAGAAGATTGGTATGTTGGTCTGGGAACAAACTTTTGTTTGGAAGAACTTATTTTAGAAAACACCTGCATTGTATTTAAAATCTCTTTTTTTAAATATGAAAATGTTCACTTTTAAGGGATGAGTAGCATTTAGAAATCTTACTTGCTTTTTTTGTATTATGACAACAGGACAGTTATATTTTTTCATAGAAAGGGACCAGGACTAGCTGGTGTTCACTGAGGGTGAAATTCCACCACAAAGAGACACTTCTCCCCTATGATTGATTAGCTCAAGGACCTGTGTGGACATATGAGGATTGAGAAATTATGGGTGGAGAGTGTGTCCTTTTTGGTCTGAATGTCTCAAGTATTGTCCTTTTTGGAGTTTAACAGAGGCGATTGCCATGAGTAGTCTAAGTGCTGACACCATACTAGATTGGGTTGTCACATTGGGAAGACAAGACCTGTAATAACTTCTACATTCAGATCATTTCTTCAAGTTTTTGTTCCTTTAAAATAAGTTAAAATGATAAACTGGAGCATTTCTTAAATGACTGACATGAAATCAAGAGATAAATACTGTGACGCTGAACTTGAAAGCACAGAATCACCTTGTAAGAATCATGTTTTAGGTAATACATATGATTTACTAATTGCTATCACTTTCTAGTCAACCTGGAGCTGATCAGGTTTAATAAGATGTTTCATAGACTGATAAGGAACATCATCATTAAGAAGAATAAAGGTATAGAATAGATATTTTATGACCTTCTGTTAACCTTTGATTTCATGACAGTTACCTGGCATCTTAATAAGAAATGCTCTTTATCATCACCTCTCATGCAACAGTTTGCAAGATACAAATGCTTTCACATAAAAGGAAAGAAAACTTTGAACCCTCACAGTTCTCTTTAGGAACTAAAGAGTTTTCAATCTATTAGTGGATTTTTAATATAATTTTGGAATTTAGGTGTACTTATGGCCACTTGTGAGGGTGCAGACTTGGATCATTTGCCAAACCTTTATCCATGTCATCAGGCTATGGTCACAGAAAAATTGTTTTCAAATTCTGAATGGTCATAACAATTTCACCAAGGGAAATTCAACATGGCGATATTAAAGAAGCATAGACTCAGATACTTGAAATGAATTAGTCAATGATCAGGTCATAATTTAATATTAGCTAGGCATTAGATGTTGTTGCAGTGGAAGAGTGGAAGCAAAGTCAAAAGATGAGGATGATATAAGCAAGACTTGTATTATTGGATGGGTTATTGCAAATTTAAAAGTTTAGTAATTATCTTGAAGAGAGACTGTCCACTTAAGATTTCAAGAAAGGAGAAGACCTGATAACATTTTCAGCTCAGAGCATACTCTTAGGCAAAGAACAAAAGTAAAATAAACATGCTAAGAGTGTCAGAGAATAGGCCAGTTAGCCAAGTCTTTAGAAAAGCCAAAGGAATGTGATCCATGACTATTATCATGGCACTGTTGGTGGGAGGGAGGTAGAGATTCAGTGGTATCTGTAATTAGTTACGAATAATGTTCAAGAACCATTAAAAATGACCACTGATGCTAAGCTTAGGAATCTAGGCAATAGGCAGCTGATAACAGAAGGAATGCCCGAGAATATCATATATATTCTAGACTGAAAGCAAGATAGTAAATCACTTTTGGTTATGCACCTTCGAAAATCTTGAGTAATAACTACTTGTTGATGATCATCAGGTTAAATAAACTTTACTCCTCAACTGTGTGCTTACATGGAGAGTATTTACAATATTTTCCTGTGATGATTTTTTTTAAAGATTTCAAAAGTTAACAAGAGAATACTGATCAGACACAACATTGTTGTTGGAGAGTTTCTCTCCAGTTCCTGCCATACCGTAGGTCAAGCACACACGCCAGGAACCCACCATAGTAGCTCAAACCAGCAGCCTGCTGTTAACTTTAGAGAAACAACTAGGAAGCTGTTTTTAGCTCTGTTTTAGAATCTTTCTTCAGGTTTTAGGTGGGAATTGTGTGGGATGTTCTGTATGACAAATGTGTTACTCTGATTGGTTAATAAATAAAACACTGATTGGCCAGTAGCCAGGCAAAAAAAGTATAGGCGGGACCAATTGAAAAAACAAAAAGACAGAGAGAGACACTGTGAGCCGCAGCCAGGACAAGAAAGATATAAGGTACCGGTAAGCTATGAGCCACGTGACAAAGTATAGATATAGTAATGGGCTAAATATAAGACTAAAAGCTAGACAATAATAGGCCTGAGCTAATGGTCAAGCAGTTTAAATAATATAAGCATCTGTATGTTTATTTTATAAGTGGGCTAAGGGACTGCCACGGATTGGCGGGACCCGGAAAAAAACTCTCAAGCTCCACAACGTTTTCATGATGCTTGTTATGAAGAGTGTAAACCAAACTGGTTATAGATAGTGAGTAGTTTTAAGAGAGAGTCTCTTCAATCAAAAGTGAATCATCTGTGTATTTCTAACTGCTGACAGAAGCTGGATATATTAGCTGCACCACACAGCTCCTCATACCCTTGTTAAGCATATGATGGAGGGAATAGTTCAGCCCCACAAAGGAAGTTCAACAATTTCCTCGCAGTTGACATCATCACCTTGATTCTGTCAGCCTGATTCTCTACCAAGAGATTTTGTTATACTCCAGCATTATTATTCCATTCTTTCAGGGACAAAACCTACAAATCAACATTTTCTTGACTCACTTGGTTTATTGTAGGAAGTTTTTTGCTCATTGTCATTTCATTATTGCTAAGTCCGCCATCTTCCCACATTCTGTATTCTGTATCCTGGGTTACACATCCTGTTTCCTGTGTACTATATACTGTTTCCTTGTGCTCTGTATTCTGTTTCCTGGGCTCTATATCCTGTTTCCTGTTTTCAGTATTCTGTTTCCTGTGCTTTGTATTCTGTTTACTAGGGTTTGTACATTTTTCTCTATATCTTTATGTTTTGCTCTTGAGTTCTTTGCTCTCTTTGCTAGGTAGCCACTGTATTTACCACACATTGATTCATAATTTCCTTTATCAGCTCATTTCATTGAAATGAGTTCAGTTCTTCATTGTTATATACTAAGAGGTGGCAACATGAATATCAAAATTTATATGTAATCATATTATGATCTTATTTTGGCTTTAGTTATTTTAGTGATATTTTTCTTTGAGCAGATATTTTAAACTATAACACAGGGCTTATTTGGTTTGTGGTATAATTTTATTTTTTTTTAAAGATCTTTTGTAACAACAACCTTAAAATATCTTATTAATAAAAACAAACCCAGAGCCATGTATTGGGGTGAACGCTGAAAGATCAAAAGAACAAGCCACATCCTACCTCACCTTGCCAATTCCTCAGTTGATCTTGTTTCCTCAGACTGAAAGCCTCCAAATCCTCATCCAAATAGATCTCAGCTGAACTGCTGCTAAAAGCTAAAAGCTCAAAACCAGTCTAGTTCCTGGTTCTCATGCCTTATATACCTTTCTGCCCCCTGCCATCATTTTCTAAGATTAAAGGCATGTGTCTTTCCCAAACAAGACATGAGATCTCAAGTGCAGGAATTAAAGGTATATGTCACTATGCCTGGCTGTTTCCAGTGTGGCTTTGAAATGACAAAGATCCAGATGGATCTCTGCTTTCAGAATGCTAGGATTAAAAGTGTATGTGCCACCATTTTCTGGCCTCTATGTCTGTCTACTGGCTTTTCTGTTCTCTGACCAGATAAGTTTATTAGGGTGCACAATACATTGGGAGACACAATATCACCACAATCTTCTGTTATTCTTATAGCTTACCTCAAAAGTGTTTTAGTAAGAAATTTTGAAGACTAGTTAGACAGTAGTTATTAAACACTGAGTATACTGTAACAGTCCTTAACATTGACAAGAAATGATCTCATGTTTCACAATTCATGATTGTTTTTTAATTATTTATAGAATGATAAAATGAATACATTGTATCCTATTTCTCTTATTTTAAGAAAGGTATTGATCAGGAAAATAAATCTGACTTAATTAATATTGTTTCATTTTATGATTTTCCTAAGGCTTTATTCTTATTTTAATTATAATTTGTAAAGATTGAAGTCATTAACTTTTCACAAAATGGAAAAAGTTCATTAAGTTAATATGTATGCTGTTCATGTATATATATGTCTTTAGGTTTTTCAACAGGTTTTCAAATTTTTCAAAGCCATTATGTTATAACATCAACTTTCTACTTAATATAAAATCCATATTTGGAGAAATGAATTTTACTTGCCTAAAACATTGTTGGAGTTCAATCTGTATCCTTCAACTGTTAGGATTTATTTAATTTTTAAAGAGATTGCTTCTAGAAGAAAAACCTACAAATATATCAATGGATTTATTTTATAAGAAACAATTATTTTGAAGTTAAAGTTCAGTAGCTCAATCATAAATTCAACAATGTAAATCTTCCCTAATGTGTCCTGGTTTTTAAACTAAGAGTTGCGGCATATTTTCATAGATTTTAAACTCAAATTAATTATTTAAATGGCTAATATTAAAGCCGTACTTTTTTCTATCTAACAATAGTGATTTTTTCTAAAGTTCTGTGTAAAACACATGATTTTAAATTCAGGATTATATTTATAGAGCAAACAATACATATTTGGAAAGTAGAATGGAAACAGTAATTCAAAGGTATTATTCACAAAATATTTATTATTTAAAGACCTACATTGACACTGTAAAAATAACATTATTATTGAAAACTACAAGGAATAATTATAAGCATTCAGTACAACTAAATTACAAAATCTGTATTATTTCTCATTAGTTTTTATTAAATGTACCAGCCATTTATTATATCTTTGTCTAAGTCATCACCATTTCCAACATTAATGTTTCAAGTATTGTAAACTCTTTTTCTAAATGCATAAAGAAGTAAAGTTATTTGAACAAAGAACCCACACCATTGGAAAGAACTAAATGTTTCAAAAAATTCTTACTTTTGAAAACAGAAATAAATGCTTAAATTTATGTAAGGAAAACATGGCATTGAATGAGAAAATTTTCAGGGCTATGGAGACAGCAGAGTTCAGACATGTGCTTGCCACACAAACATGAGGACTGTAGCTAAGTTACTCCATAGTTACAAGTGCGGGGTTGGTAATGAAGCAGCTCCAGCCTGTCTAGCTAACTGAAAAGTGCCGGTTTCAGTTACAGATCACCTTCTCAAACGTTAAAGTAATAAGTCATCAAGAGCTGATCTGTGGTGGTGCACAACTTTAATCCCAGCACTCAGGAGGCAGAGCCAGGTGGATCTCTGTGAGTTCGAGGCCAGCCTGGTCTACAGAGCGAGATCCAGGACAGGGACCAAAATTACACAGAGAAACCCTGTCTCGATAAACAAAAAACAAAACAAAACAAAACAAAACCGAAAAGTCATCAAGAAAGATACCTGATATCACTTCTGATCTCCATATTCATAAACACACACGTGCATTTACATGTACCCATGCACACATACACACAATGATAATTTTTATTTCTTAGGAATATTCAAAACCTTTAATATTGATATAATGCCAAACATAGCTATTTAATGGCAGATTAATAACTTGATTAAATGTCGTTAGGATTTTTCTGTTACAATACATCTGGGAATATATATGCACACACACACACACACACACACACACACACACACACGCATGCACACACACAATCTAACTTAGGTAGTCCTCAAACTTGAGCTCCTCCTTTCACAGTGGTAGAATTAATACCATGTATCAATGTACATGGTTTACAACCACCCTTACTTAAAAAGGGAAAACATGATGTGGTTTCTTAAAAATTAAGATCTTGCCGGGCGGTGGTGGCGCACGCCTTTAATCCCAGCACTCGGGAGGCAGAGCCAGGAGGATCTCTGTGAGTTCGAGGCCAGCCTGGGCTACCAAGTGA